GCATACCACAGGGCGCTCTCCCGCGCTTGATTTTGAATGTTGATGTCTAGGTCTCGATGATTGAGCAAGAGTTCGCGCACACCAGGGGAAAAGTATTTCAGCGCCCGCATTAAAGGAGTTTTGCCTCGGTAAAATGCATTGATGTTGGCGTTGTGCTGGAGCAAAGCCTCCGCAAGACCAACGTTGTCGTATTTGACGGCCAAGTGCAACAGATTGCTGTTCTGAAATTTGATGTTGTATTTCCAGATGCTGGGCTGCAGTTTAAAATCAAAGTCTTTGCATGATTTNNNGAGGGCAAATAATGCACTACCGTCCAAATACGACACAATCCACAGCAAAAGCTCGTTGGGCAGGTCTCTGATGTTTGGCTGTAATGTATTAGCCCATCGGTAAACTCAGTAAAAACGAATTGAGACAGACCATGATTGGACAGCAGATTGGAGCTAGGAGGCAAACGAAATGTAGATGAGGGTGAGGCGTGAAAGTTGGACGTGGGGAGGCCTTTATATACTCGCCTCAGCTAAATTCAGTGGTCAGCTAGAAGTGTAGCCCGTCACTCCGCTGAGGCGCGTAGCAATCCCACGGCAGCATCAAAGCCTTGACAACAATGTTTAGGCGGAGTTGGAGAATTTCTGGCTTCCAGCTCCCGGGAACGCCAAAACCGTTCCTGGTAGTGTGTTGATGGCCTGGGAACCGAATCTATCTCTACGTACCCACATGTTGCATCTAGCGCCATAAGAATAAATCACAACCTATCACGCACTTCGAAATTCCATAGGCAACCCAGAATTTAACCCAGCGTTTGTTGACTATGCTGCCTACCGCAGTATCCAATCTGTTCGCCAATGCATGGTCACCGCGGTCTACAGCCACAAGTGCAGCTGATTTGGGCAGCAGTGATCTGGAATGATATCCCTTCTCGCAGGCCACTGATTGGCCATATAGTGGCGCATACTGCGTGTGAATGCATTCCTCGACGTATCGACTGTTTCAAGGAAGACGTTGCATGCCAGCAGCCACGCAGCCATGCAGGGAAAGACCCTACGGAGATGGCATATAAAGCTGACGAGGGGACGCTGCAGAGATTGCCCAACACCACCAACAATCCGAAGCATTTTCTGCCTTTGAAGACCACCGCAATGTCTACCATGCCTTGGAACCCATTCTCTGTCTGCGGGATCCCTCACAGTGGTCCTGGCTCCTGTTGCGGCATGACGAAAAAAGGCGAGCCATGCAAGAACTCGATCAAAGTTGAAGACACCAAGATCGGCCATCAAAAGTTGACCACTCTCGCTAGAGAGCCGTTTGACTTGTCATCGTTGCAGTCGAAGCTCTGTGATATCGCTAGAGACTTCCTCTGCGCGAGATGGCACCGGCAACGGCAGGCCGATCAAGTTGGCCAGCAGTGGTATGACGCCGCCGTCCGCAACCAGGCGCGAGTACCACATGGCTCCAGAATGGCTTCTCCATCAGTCATGGAACAGCCGGGTCAGCGTCAGGCATCGTCAGCCTCCAGGCGCCGCCCTGCATCAGACAACACTGACCCGTCACCTCGCGGGCTCAGACATGACCCGCCGGTGCGCCTGTCGACCAACCCTGAGCCAGTGCAGCCATTCAATCCATTTGTGACTTCCACAATGCTGCGGACGAACAGTGTTCCATGGCGCGTTTCGCCGGTCCAACCGGCTATTCTGGCGTCGGTCGCTAATATCTGGGCCGGTTTCCAAGAATTGACGCTCCAGAGTCTCACCCCGAGTGAAGAGGTCGACAGCATCCACTGTGTGTTCTGCCTGACCGAGGATGAAGACCATGCGAACGAGCGCGTCATCTTGCGCTGCCGTCAGTGCACATCGCTCTCTCATCTCTCCTGCGCGGAAGAATGGTTGGAAAGGCGAGATACAGGATCTGGCACGTCATGCTGTGTGTGGTAAGTGTGGATGACCTTTTTTCTGCAACGACCAGGATACTGATGACTACAGTCGAAACCAAGGTGCCCTAGACGCCTTGATTCGACCTTTACCAATCCCCTCGTTGGATGCCGAAACACATTCCGTTTTGACAGCAAGCGGATCATCTCCCGATGGAGAACCTGCCACCCTCGGGATCTTATCATCAAACGAACCTCAAAGTCAGCCGCGTCAGCGGTCAGTGGGATCCCCAGGTGTTTCAGTCGAGAGTGGCCCCCGTCGATCAGCCAGACTAGCAGGAACTCATCTACCGCGAGGACGTTCCACCTCTGCACCGCTTCGCCGGTCGGCACGACTGAATTCCCCTCAGCGTAGGTGATCACAGGTTACAGCCGAGGTAAGATGGAAAATAGGAAAAGCGACTGCCAATCACACGTGAGTACACGTGACCAGACACTCGGCACCATGATCAGCAACAGAGGTCATAGAGGTGATATAGATCTTTGGAGCAAGCTTAGCAAGAAATGAGATCCTGATCGTTAAAAAGTACAACGCGGCCGTTTCATCTTTGCGAGTGCTGGGCACCATTAGACCTTAGCCAAAAGCTACTGGCAGCTTCGCTTATTTCGAAAATGACAGCGCTAGATTTGCTGGTAGATTAAGTTTCTTCTTTCATCATACCTAACGGCGGTGACCAAGGGGACACGGATTCATCTCAGTGGAGCCGTGTCGCATAAAGCGGAGATTGTTGGCAGAAAAACGCAACTAGCGGGCTGGCGAGAGATGGACAAACTCTTGTGCTCGTTAAACTGCCTCTGGGAAGCTCAAAGCATTTCTAGGAGCTGTCTATCCCCTAGGAACCACAATTTAGCTCCTGGGGCTATTTCTAATTCTAGGAAAATGAGATCTACCCCTGGGATCTTCACTCTACGTTCCTGACTGAATACGAAACTGGCTCTGGGAGTTGTGGCGCCCCTGGGACCGTACATTAGTGTCCTAGAGTCATAATTTTGCCTTCTGAGGTCGCAGAAAGCCCTCACAAGACATCTTCACCAGACCTGCGCACAAATCTGCGTCATTCGATCACCCCCAGAAGGCCAATTCATCGCCCCAGGAATCAACAAGCCGTCAACAGGAACGCGGCTTTAATTCCCCCAGGTAGGGATACCAGACCCCGGAAGCCACATTGGGTTTCCTGGGGGCGACGTGGCTCCTAGAAGCTGCTTCTCTGCTCCCAAAAACGTTCCAGGGGCCCCCGGGAGCAAGAAAACTCCCAGGGCCAAGAGATGAGTTCCTAGCACTGATAGAACCGTCTACAGGAGCGTGACCGGTTTCTTGATAGTGATGATGAAGATGTGCACGTTTGTATCTGGATACAGCTATGGATATCTATTTGTTGTTTATACGAACAGTGACAGAAAATGCGCATAAAACAAGGAAAAGGCTACTTATCCCTAGACCCCAGAAGTGCATTGTCGGCAGTGGCGCCTCCGGCGAGCGTCTCTTCACTCATGGGGCAGCCTCCTTCATAGGACTTATTGACCTTTCATTTTCAGCAAGAGGAAAGTTATCGAGGGTTTTCTTGCTGTAGGGCTCAGGGGACAGCATGATCAGATGTCCGCTGACCGCCCGTAAGACGACGTCTCCAACAGTAGAATATATTTAATGAGTATTATAATGGTGGCAGGCTCGGTAAAATAGAACGTGAATTGGGTTAAGTCATTGCCTATGGCATCCATTATATCTGGGATCAGCAGAACATCTGGACCGGACCCTTCCTTAAGGGCCACTCAACGTGAGCGTTTTGGTTGGAAGAAAGGTGCGAGTAGCCGGCCAGGAAGACCATAGAGCTGTACAAAATTAGTAATAGTCATGTCACTTACGATGAAAACTCCATACCTAATTTTGAAGAGCAAAGGAAACGAAGAGGAAAAGTAAGTGAAGGACAAATTGAGAGATTTTCTTCACTACCTTTTTCTCCTCCCTTTTCCGTCATCTTTTCCTCGTGCCCTCAATTCCGCAAAACCCAAGGCCTTCAGTCCCTTCACCAGAAGTGACGAATTTTGCATCCCCGGGAAATCCTTTGGTGGATAAACGCGGAACGAATTCGACCACGTCTCCGCAAAAACTGGAATTGACTGACCAGTATCCTCGACGCAGCCCCAATTCATCAACTTGAACTGAAGTCGGTAAACACCGGCGGACCGAACGGACAGGTCAGTAAAGACGAAAAATGTTGCAGCTTGGTGAGTGCAGGAGGCGGTAAGATTTGAGAGAGAATGCGTTGAAGATACGGCTGTGTCCGATGAAGGATGCATAGGAGCAGAGGCCGGATCTGGATCAGCTTCAACAAAGAAGGGGGACACGAAAGTTTTGCCAGATAATAGAGGGATTGTATCATTTGTGTTGTCATCAACATCACATTTTGGTCTCTGTTCCAAGCCTCGTTGGTCTGCACCTATGGGCGGAGAAGGTTGGGATGAAGCCGAGTCAGGGAACAAGAGGCAGCTCACCGTGAATCTCGGGTCGCGGAAAATAGCACAGTCTTCTTGCGATTCTGGGTCGAAGTCCGTAAGTAGCATCTGTACAATTGGGGGCGGATCAACAAGACGACGGTATCGGTCGCGTGTACCGCAAGAGCGCGCCTTTATAGGCTGTTCCCGTACATGGAGATGATATCGAGACTGGTTAGATCGTTTTCGCGATGCCTGGGATGGCGGCGACAATTGCGCTTGCTGAAGGAGCTTCTCAAACCCACGAGGTATGCTGTAGCTAGACTCGCATGATTTGTGTCCCTGGTCTTGTTGGGTCCGGCTTTTGGTGGTCGGTTTGCTTGCAAAAGTGGATGCCAAATCTTTAGAGTAGACTGAGTAAGAGATGTTGCTGGAGCTGCAGTTGTGCCTTTGGATGTCAGAATAAGCTTCATACAATTGTACAGGTACGAATGGCTCAAACATCGTCAGTCTTCATGGAAATACACATTTGAGTAGAAGCCCTTGAGAGGAGTGCGCACCAATGGTCCTTTGATCTGAAAGACCGGATAGGACACTCGAGAGCTTGAGAAGAAGAACAAAAAAGAGGCTTTACCGAGAATCTAGGTTGTCTGTCCTGTCCCAATGACTATCGTCCCCACTGTCACGTCTCAGCAAGAATCTCGCATGTTCACATGCAGGTTGGTTCAAATCTGTGCTTATGGAAGCATCTGGCTGGTAGTGAGATCGCAGTGGGAACGTCTGCGGCAGGGACGGCCAGTGTGTATGTGTATTTTCGTTCAAGGGTGTGCGGATCGAATGCGGATTCCGCTCGGTGAAGAAAGTGGACGGTGCCAGCCGTTTATCAGGTGAGATGAGCATTATGGGGGTCTCATAGCTGGCATACTTCGTTGGGTTCTGTGGAAGGCCGTCGGCTTGGTACTTCTGATAGGGAACAGGCAGTGGACCATCGTCATGGGGTTGCGAGGCGGCCTCAGTGCAAGGCCTATCTTCCGTAGGATGGCCATACTGCTGCGACAATCGCCTCGACATTTGGTTTGCGAAAGTTTGCGCTTGCCGTCAATGTGGACCGTTCTCTGGGGCTTGATTCGATGGCCTATTGCGTGGACGGGAGAATTTCAGCCCAGTAGGCAGATCGGACTGGGCTAGGAGGGAGTCCCAAGGTCGGGAGTGAGATCTATATAGACATACCAAAAAAGATGCAGGGAATAACGTACGGTCGCAGGTAAAACATTAGGATATAATCCCCTCGAATCGCCTACAGTAGCGGGAAAGGCACCTAAGAATAAAAAACACCTTCATGATTGGTTTGACTGGCAGTTGGCATAATGGAGCTTTGCCTGGAGACGTTGCTGTTGGCTCCGTTCGGTCGGTTTCCCGCAATCTGCCCATATTCAACAACTGTCTGACTCCTACCCTTTCTCTATGATTGACTGATTATTTGAAGCTGAATCGCTGGATCCGACCAGGGATAGGACTGGGAGAGCGTCAAGACTTTCTGCCGAGCGACAACTTTAATCAGGCACGCGCCCCATTACTAGTTTCCACTGCATCCGTCGATAGGCTGCAGGCGAGGTAAGATTCACAGGAACGGCCCGAGCGGAAAAAGTTGCTCTTGAGTGAGACAAACAAGTGCTCCTTGGTACTTGCCGATTACAAAGCTTTTTCGGCAACAAAGGGGCGGCTGGCCAATCATCACCTGTATCTGTCATTAGCGAGCAAAAGCAACTGAGACACGAGTCTGTCCGCGGAGATAGTCGCTGCAAATCCCACAAAGTCGACGTGTTCTTTGCCAGGAACGGGTTTGTTTGATCTTTATTCGGATTTTACAAGGTCATGCACACACGGCAGGCAGGATCCTAGTAAAATCGCTAACTAGGTATTGCTTGCAAGGTGTTTGTTGGCTGGCAATAACTTCCGCCCCCTTTCCCACGGTGTTCATTACTCAGCACCCCGTGCGGCCTGAGATATCCGTATACTTACCTGTGGTATGGCGCTTGGGATGATGTATTACGGCGAATATCGCCTGTTGGGTCTAGCACACTAAGGGAAGCATGACTCGCCCAACGCATGTAGCCTATCACGGATTCTTGATCTGTATCGCGTTATAACAGATTTCAGCCTAAGATGGAAGGATAGGCAGCTAGCAGCTAGGCAGAAATGCTAGATAGAACTGCCGCAGAAGCTTTAGGCGCAAGGGGCGTAGGTATTATAAAATTTCTGTGTCGACCGGACTTTTATGTGAATCATGTCGATGGTGGATACCAGCCGATCTGTACTTGTGACTCAAGATGTGTATTCTATTTCTGGACAGATGCGTTAATTTCTCAACTGGAGGCTTTGCGAATGCCTAAAAACATTTCTGATGTCTCAGTGGCGCTCCTTTACAGCTCCCTGGATATCGTATTCATGAAATACACTGCGGATAGATAAGTGGCTTTCTCTTTACGTTTAGCTTGGGTTTAGTGATATGGAATAGTTCACTTTTGCCTGGCGCAAGCTCGCTGCATGCCGATAGGCCAAGACGTCCGCTTTCTGTAGTGCCCTCCCAAGCATTACCGCATTTTCCCCATAACTATTCGAAGCCACTAGGATATAAACGCCGTCCAAATGCCTCGCTTTCTCCGTACGGCAACCCCGGTAACGAGCATGCTCGCACGAGCGGTGCATTGAGTAGTAAGATCACAATGGGCGAAACCGGGAATTCGGTGGGCATTGAGCAGGCGTATGCATGCCAATTGGATGCAAGCACATAATAGGAGGAGAAAAGCAAGCAATTGGATGAAACCCTTTCCGCTATGACAACGGAGATCTTCTTGATCGGGTCTGACTATCTGCTCACAGGAAATTTGCGGCAAAGGGTGCTTGGTCAATCTGGCGACGGGGTTGTCGAAAGGAACTATTAATCGAAATCATTGGCTGCGGTGCCAGCCAACCGTCTCAGGAATGTCTACTACTCGTCGCTGGAAGCATGTCCAGGATCACAGATCCGTTAGCACCATCTGATCTTATCGGTGCGCACAAGGTTGCTATTTGCCAGCATCGCGAAATCTTGCAGCTTAGACGAGGTGGGAGAGAGTTCGTGGCAGAGATGCGATCACCGCCCAGCACTGTGAAGAATGCTCGAAAGCCATTTCCGCAGCTGTACCTAGAGCATGAAGCCGTCAATAAAACAACCGGCCAAACTTCGGAAAACCCGGGCAACCGACGCTCGAGAGGCCGCCAGGAAGGTCTATTTCTAGAATTCGCCTGTGTTTCAAGACAGTCAAATCAAGCAACTTCTCAACGATGGTCTAATGAAGGATATGATACTGACAGTTGTGACGGTGAAAACTAGGAGCTACCCACCCGGAAACATGTAATCCCTGAACGGGCACGCCTTGTGGAAATTTTTCACAAGTACAAGCTCCTTGCACGTCGTATCCAGCTTACCAAGGATATGGCTACACTCTTGCGGCTGCGCGAACCGAGCAGCCAAGACAACAGAATCAACTGGAATCACATGATGAGGATGATCTGCTGGAACAGCCAGAAGGACCCTCGTCTCCCGAAGAACATACCATGATTTATCCAATTCACGTCCGCATCTTTTGTTACGGCCCGTCTCGTCGTTCAGCATCGAATTCTCCTCCACGCGAATTTCTCACTAAGCAAAAGGATTCTCTACGCCGTCACCCCATTGATCCCCATCTGTTCCATGCACGATGGCATCAGTGGCAATTTGGAAGCCTGCAGCACTTTCCCTAAGTTCACTGAAGTCACCGAGTACTTCGCCCGCGCTGTTAAAGTGCAGGATCATGACGTCACACCTTGAAGATCAAAGCTATCGTCGTGGTATTGATAGCATCTGGAATCTTGGTAATAGGTACTTGGGTACCGCAATCATCACGCCGACGAGAAGACAAAAAAAAACCCAGGCAACCACAGATTTCCCATCCGAAGACAACTCTATCCTTTCTCTTTGCGCAATTCAGGAACAAGGCCTGGAAGAAAGATATTCTGTAAGGATGCGACTAACTGCAGTCTGTATCTATCTCACTGGTCGATGATCCCAATCGCACAACATCGATAATGTGTCGGACATCAGCATCATTAGAAGTCGTATTGCCACGAGAAAGTCGTCATTTCATATAATACCCAAGTTCTTCTTCCATCGTACTCGAGTAGAGTGTGTGTCTATTCTCAGAGCTCTCATCGACAACGCAGACACAATCGCATTTGCTGCATCCCAAACACGGATTTCCACCGCTGCACTATTGTCCGACAACCCAAAAGCAAGCATGGGCATATTCCTATAATTCTCTACCTTTGTCCGTCGATGCTGACATTCCTTGCAGGCAGTTGCCCGTCTGCGTACCCTGGCATCTCGTTTTGATACTTCATTTTCCGATTGACCAACTACTGCTCCTTTGGTAGGTGTCATTTGAGGCCGAACGGGTAGGAAAGGGGAAAAAGACATATTCACATATATAGCCCCAGGAGCCGCGATTACGCCTCCAGGAATTAACCAAGTCATCAACAGGAACGCGGCTTTGACTCCCCGAGGTTGGGGGTACTAGACCCCAGAAGCTATGTCGGGTTTCCTGGGGGCTACGTGGCTCCTAGAAGCTGCTTCTTTGCTCCCAGAAACCGTTCAAAAGCCCCCGGGAGCAAGGGAACTCCCAGGGCCAAGACCTGAGTTCCTAGCACTGATAGAACTGTCAACAGGAACGTGACCGGTTTCTTGATAGCGATGATGGATAGTCTTACAAGCTACGTACGATGTCCTGGGGCTATGTAATTCCTGGACGACTAACATATCCCCAGAGTCAGTCTCTTGAAATCTTTACAAATACCGAGTTTGATGGATGTTTACACAGAGCAGATAGTTGGTCGGCGGGCCCCCGGAAAACGTGTCCGATGTCTTGGAAGTAAAGCAGCTCCTGGAATCACCCTGAGCTCCCAGGGTCTGCCGCGTGTTTAAACTTGCATCAGGTATTCTGGGATTGGATTGGTCGCTGCATATACCATCTTAGTGCACCTCGTGGAAGAACATTTGACCCGGACACGAGGTCGTGGGTGCAGAAATCCATAAATACTTGCTTCCCGTCCTAACCTTTGCATATATTCTATCCGTGATATCCTCCCCATATTATCCCACCAAGTGGCCCTCACCCCTTGACCCCAAAATTCAAGTGCTTGTGATCTCTTCCGACAATGCCGATTGATTTTACTTCAAAGAACCGTTATCCCCAGGTGGGAGTTAACCATGGTAATATTTATCCATGTACCGAACCGAGATCAGTCATTCATCCCCAAGACACTCTGATTTTAAATTCGGAGAAACGCATCGATGCTGCTACAACAGTAGCCTTGGATCATGCTCTGAACAGAGCTTAAAGGTGCCTAGACATGGTTCAGGACGGTGCATCTCAGAATACCCAAATTGTTGGAGTTGCGGAACGCCTCGGCAACCTTTTTCTGGACCTCAAAGACCTCAGCCCTGAACACTGGGGCTCTCTAGACAGTGGGGTTATATCCACTATCTTTTCACTCTTATATTGCTGCATCATGGAATGCTACGAGCTCAAATCTACTCCGCTAGCAATCTCGTCGCTATGCGATGGACTCGACGCCTGGAACTTGACTATTCAATGTGTGCATAGCGCAGCTCTGATGTATGTGTCAGATATCTATGTGGTCCTTACAGTATGAATATTCTAATCACATCGGTGTTCTAGGGATCCGCACGACAAGAGATCGGTCTCTCCACAGCAACAGAAAGTCACGGAGGCCATCGAACAAATGGACAACAAAAGAGCCAAACATGGGAACGAAATGAAGCAACCCGTGCCGGCCATATACCATTATCAGGCGGTCCTTGATCTGTTGAAGGGGAATCATGAGAGAGATAGTGCGGCGAAATTTGGGGGCATACATGTGAGCTTCGGGGGAGAAAAACGTGGTATCCAAGCCGTTGAGTATCATGGAAGCATGGGACACCTTACTTTTCCTCTCTAGAAGAAGGAGATTTGACTAAACTCAGTGAGATGTGCATGTTCTATGCTATATCTGGATATACCTCTATGGATATCTATTTCTATTTATACGGACGGAGGTAGAAAATGCGCATAAGCCTAAAGAAAAGTTCACTTTCTCCTAGATTTCAGCCTTGAGTATTATCGAGGCCAAGTAAACATGATATCCGGCCAAACTAGGCTTAGAAAGCATAGTTTATCGCTTAATTCTGGAGGCAGTGATGGGACAGTGCCTGTCTGGGCACCAATTGGAGGGCGAACGGGGCGAACCACCGAGATCACTTCTGCAGGCCCTATCCGCGGAGAACTACCTGTTACGTACGACTATCGGGTCGTCGCTAAGTTAGAAGATTCCGGGTTATACTTCCCTAATGCTTCCTCTGTCTCTCAACTGTACCGTTACCTAACAGGCCTTACACGGGCTGAGTCCTTTCGAGGGTATCGAGGAGCGATGCCAGGTAGGGCGCCGATCAGATCTATACCGGAATATTGGTCTGATCGTAGTGTTGTCAAGTTATAATCAAGTAATGAGTCACCAAGGTCCCTGAACAGTAGACAAGTAACAATGTATGATTGAACACGAAGAACTAAACTAGGTACATGACATCCTTATATATCCTTCGTAGTCATACCCTGCCCTACGGCTGGGTATACCAATTGCTTCCTATCTGTAGTTCCTCTGATATACCATTCTGACATACCGGGCCTCGGCACTGCATTGTGGGATATTGCTTTGGTCACGTGATTGTCGTCTCATCGTTATTTGTGGAGTGCAGTATTTAGACTACACTCTCAAGTACTCAATTGGCTATGCTCGTACTAGTCCGTACTGTAAGGACCACGTTCCGACACCATTCAATGTCATGTTCCTTCCGGTATTCCCACCAGGAGCGCCCCACACAGTGCAATCATGGATATATGTTATTCCGGGACCGGAACCAAAGGGTCGGGCATTAAACTTATCCCACTTCCTTTCCTTATTACCCCGCCGTTGGGGGTTATTTTATACGCTCCCTTCCATGAATCTATCGTTTATGTGCTCGTTTCTTTGCAACTACTCTATTTGATTGAAGGTAATTTCCCGTCGGGCTCTCCTTCCTGGTTTCTTCACGTATAGACTGCTGAGGAGTCGTTCTACCATATAGTGCACGTCCATTTGTCCAGCTAGACCTACCTCGATCATGCCACCGACCAACATCGCTGACGACGCCTTTTTGGAGTTGAAGAACCTGGCGACATGGGTCTACAAAACAGCCGAAATGGGGGAGGAGAAGGGGGAAAAGAACCTTTCCAGATGTATGGATAAAGAAGCTCGTGAAGCGAAAGTACGACCGTTATTGGAGAAACTGGGTTATGACAAAATACAGGTAAAAGACAAATACGTTCTTGATAGTCTTAATTTGAAGATTCTAAGAGATTCTAGGGCCATCTTGTTGGACTATTGCGAATATATGGGAGCAGTTCGATCGAGAAGCCTGATAATTATCGATCGTTGTTGTTTTTTCCACTGTCTATTGGCTCGGGGCCTGAAAGCATAGTGTCAGGAGAGGTGCAGGTTGCAGGCGAAGTTCTTAAGCCTGGCACCTATATCCAACTCACGAGCACTTTGAACTTGGATGCTCAATTGGATTGTCTTATCGTCCTTCTGCCTTAGGTTGCATGTCAGGGTCAAGGAGGCTTATCCCATCTTCTGGAATTTGAATTTGTACAAGTTTGTTTGGCGTTCTTTCCTCGGAAACTAGCTACCAGAGCGACGCATAGTTATATATAAATATAATATAGTTTTCACAAAGCCGAGAACTTCACATTGTTTAGATCCTAGCAGATTTAAGGCAAGTGTTATCTTCCTTTTCCCGGGGTCAACGAAGTGCGATTTCGGTTCTATGTGTTGCGCGAGAAAACATGGCCATGCGGAGTGCAGCCTGAGATTCTCCTCTGCAATTAGTCTCGATATTATCAAGCTGAGACGTTGCGCGAATAAAGAGGCTCGCATCTCGCAGAACCGATTTGTGCCTCAGGGTTGGCGAGTTGGGGATTTGGAAATAGACTGAAAAATTCATCGCTCGTCGTAGGGTTGAGATACATCCTCTCCTGCTCCATCTGCGCCGCAGGGTTGGCGAGCTGGGGATTTGGAAATAGACTGAAAGATTCATCGCTCGTCGTAGGGTCGAGATACATCCTCTCCTGCTCCATCTGCGCCGCAGGGTTGGCGAGCTGGGGATTTGGAAATAGACTGAAAAATTCATCGCTCGTCGTAGGGTTGAAGTGCGTCCTCTCCTGCTCCATCTGCGCCGCAGGGTTGGCGAGCTGGGGATTTGGAAATAGACTGAAAAATTCATCGCTCGTCGTAGGGTTGAAGTGCGTCCTCTCCTGCTCCATCTGCGCCGCAGGGTTGGCGAGCTGGGGATTTGGAAATAGACTGAAAAATTCATCGCTCGTCGTAGGGTTGAAGTGCGTCCTCTCTTGGTCAATCTGTGCAAACATTCTCGCAGAATCCTGAAAGGCGGTTCCAACATTCTGAGAGCCACTTGGACGTCCTTCATTGGCACCCGACACCCCTGAGTCCCATGCCGTTAAGTTGCTAGTGCAAATTTCAGACGCTTGTGTCCGATTGGTAGTGGGCCCATCCGGGGTTTCGAGCTCGCTTGATACCTGCTGAACACAGTCGGTACCAAGCTCTCCTCTGACGGGGGTACATTGACTTGTTTCCGCTGATTCTGAATTCTGTGCAGGGTTTGTGAAATGCAAGCTTGGGTGATCCATGTTCTGGAGTCTGAGGATTCGAGTGCCTTGTAAACGACGCCAATCTAGTTGAAACATTGTCAACAAATGCAGTGGTTATTGCGTACTGTTAGTCAACGCTACCTTTCAAGCCAACAAATGGGCTTCCTTGTTCGGGTTGTCCAAATGAAATTGACGACTCGACCTTATTCCACAGATAGCAAAAGATTTCATTCGCCAAATTGTCCGTGTCTTCAACTTTTTCAAGGTTGCAGACACCACGACGTGTTAACGAATTAATAAAGCTTGTCCTGTCTTCGCCTTTAACGGGAACTTCTTTCAGCAAGCTGTGAAGTGATTAGCTTAGAATCCAAATTGTTTGATCCACTCACTATCTATCTGTGACATCATCAGGTAACCGAAACAAGCTTCCTAGATACTTGTAATCTTGTGTCGCATTGTAGTCTCCTAAATCTCTGCTCAATGCTTCGTATCTTCCTCCCACGTAAGCCCAGTCTTTGATCTTGCACGTAATCCTGCCTGAGTCACCGTCATCCAACCCCGCCGCGAGAACTCTTTGAGTGATCCATTCCACGGCATTAGGTCGAAGATACGTTACGCAGAACCTGTCTTTCAAATGATGGAACAGGACCTTCAGAAAACGCAAACGTATGGCATCCCCGGAGTTGCGAATTTCGGCTTTTGAAAGCTCTTCGTAGAACCCTGCAACCGGACACGTCACGGTGCTGGGAGGTTCTGTAGTGCCATTTGCATAAAGAAATGAGCGGATATCTGTACTCCACCGCGCCATATTTGCCTTCAAGTGTTTGGATAAATCGATTTTCTGGTCTTTGAGCTTTCTTGGGGCTTTCCTACAGCGTTTGCGATAGGAGGGGTCAACTTTTTGCTTTGAAACATCAGGCAGCTGCTTCCAAAGTTTTGCGAGACAGTCGACGACCTGCTTTTGATTAGACATGAAATGCCTTTCTGATAGTACTGACTGACCTGCTGGTCTGAGAGAACATGTTGAACTTCAGTTTGTCCCTTCTGCTCGGCGACTGAACATGCAGTCGCCAATTTCACCACCAGCATCTTACTTTCTATGATGCCCATAACGCGGAACCTGACAGTGGTGCGGAGAAACTCAAGCTGGAGCTTTCGTCTTTAAAGTAGCAATGATAGGAGGAGCTAAGACAAAAAGGGAGTAACACGTGATGGTTCACGACTAGGAGTATGGCGCCCCTGCATTCTAAGCGCCGGTGATTGCGCCCAGCCTGCAGATCTATCGCGGATGACCAATGGAAATTCTCAATATGCGGGTTCTTGATAAACCCGTGGCCAGACTAGGGAAGCCACCGAGAGGGGAAAAGGCCTGGACGAATAAAAGATACGTTTTCGGCACTGGTACTGTAATACGATTGTTCCCAACTCCACTAAGAGAACAGATCTCAGGTCCCGTCTTTCTCTCCAAGCAACAAGTTCTGGCTGGCACGGCTCCCCGCTCCATCCGCAACCAAAGGAGTCTTCCTTTCTTCCAATTGCAGCTTCGTAATTTTGCACGCAATTGCGCTGGCGCTCATTTTAAGCCAAATCAGTTACTCGCGCTGAAATTAATCGTTCAACTCCACGGCACGCTCATAATTAAGTCAGCCTGTCTCTTGCGGCTCGTGAAAAGTTTATTTTGCACATGAGGTGCAGAACGAATCGAGTGCTCCAAAATTGTCTGGGGAAGATCACCAATAGACGGTCTACTCAGAAGGACTTAATAAAGCGAAGCCCCTGAATGTATGAAGCTAGAGTTGAATCCACATAGCAACTTGATGATTAGTTGTTTTGTACGAAACTTTACAGATTCGCTCGTGGTTGATGCTAGTCAATAAGAGAAAAATATCTCTCTCTCCTGGCCTCTGGACATATATTGTACCGCGAAGAGGGGAAAGGGAAAGCCTTCTCTATTTAGGAGCTGTGTATTCCCTGGTAACTCCAGTCCACATTCCTGAATGACTACAAAACGGGCATTCGGAACACATTTGGGCTGGGTCTGAGAGCTGTTGCATTGATGGGACTCTACTTCTGGGCACTAGATTCAATGTTTTGCCTGACACGATACCTTCGCCAAACCAGCGCACAAATCCGATCCTTGTCCGAAAGCCAAGCCATATTCCCAGGAGTAACAGATTCACAGAGCGAAGACGTGTGTTCCCAATGTTGAGGGATCCATCATCAGAAACATGACGTGAATCTCCGAGACGGAGGTAGAAGCCCTCAGAGGCTACGTCGGGTTTTCCCGGGGCCATGTGACTCCTGGGACCGTCTCCCAGGTATTCTACATACTACTATTTTATGGGACCATCTCCGATAGTGAAAGGGCCTATATAATCTGCCTCCCTGTTACAGTCGTTGCACGTCCACTGCTCTGCGTTTGGGTCATCCATCCAGTTGAACTTTTACCATTTTCGGGATAACTCATATTTCCTATCTTTTTGGTCGATAGCTGAAATTGACTCCAAGAGCCATGGTTTGAGAGTCCATCTTTCCAAATGCTACAGCGAAATGTCTTGCCCAAGTATTCAAAGATTGACTAGGTACAGACAAGTATCCTCGACCTGCCGACCGAGATTCTTTGGATCATAGGGAACTTCCTGAATGCACCGGAAATGTCGGCTCTTGCTCGGGCCAACCGAACAGTCTATCCTAAGTTACGGCTGGCTCTGATAAAACACAACATCACATCAGAACAGTTCCGCGTTGCATTGGGCCGCCAAAACAAACAACGCCAAATTCGCTAAGACTCTGCTCTCCTATCGTATCGAGCCAACGTCAACGCTTTGTTTGGTGGTTTCTCTCCCTCGATGACAGCCATGAAATATGGGTCCGACTCGACCATCCCCCATATTCCGAGGAACAAAAACACGCTCATCAATATGGAAATTAGGCCGGCAAAAGTGGCTTGTGGTATAGCGTGGAATACGGGTCGACTACTGTCCTGAAGCTGCTTCTTCAACAACGTGGTATAGCAATCGACCTTTTGCATTGCAACAGACAGATAGCACTCTGGTTTGCCGTGTTTCGAGGCAAATATGAACTCGCAGAATTGCTGCTCTTAAGTGGTGGCAACCCCGATGTGCTAGACCGAGATAGGATATCGCTATGGATTGAGGCATGCGCCAAGAACAGAGAGTCCATCAAGAATTTGTTCTTGGATTACTGGCACACAGTGTCCCCTGGGCGGTTCTTGGTGAGTGAGAGGACCGCCACCAGCAACAGAGAGCAATCGGAAAGGGTGAGGCAAAGTGGCATAGACCACAAAAGGTGCTACAGCTCCTTTCAAACGCAGGGGAAATCTCAGCTACGTACAAAAAGGGTGAGAGTCGTCTAGAACGGTGTCTCGGTCGACGATGTTTTATTCGGTGTGGTTGTTATATTTTGGGTTCAAATGATTGTTGGCTGCTGATGCGAACGCAGATCTGATCCTGCTTGGTGGGCTGGCTGTCATCTGAGGTGCCTGGCTGCCCATACTAACTGAAACTGCCGCCCACGACCTTGCTGGTGGAGTCGATGGAAGGACTCCAATTTGTGCTCGAAGCGTATACTCCTTCTTGTAGCTTCTCGCTTTCGGCTTTAATGAAATTCCAAACTCGATTTCATCTAAACAGAGCAAAGACTAGTAATTAATAGCTGTGCGCCCCAATCCAGTACAGCCAATACAGCTAGTAGTAGTAGTGTTCATTTGCCCTGACCCCTCACAAAGTTGATTTACCAACTCGCAAAGCGATATGCAGGCTACGGCAACGATATATATCCATGATGTAGAATATTGCACTTTCTGAAAGCGCACTGAGAGCCTCGCCTTTCTTGGAATGGAAGTCTTGAGAGATCCAGTGGGTTGTAAACAAGAGATCTCTTCATACACTGTACTGTACATGTAAAAATTAAAATACTTGCGTTCTATTGATGGTCGGCTAGAGCTTCTACCACTACTCTTGTAAGCTAAAATCTCCTTTCGACGCACGGAGGGCTTGTAGTTCGGATTGGTCACGTTGAAAGACAACGTCTTATCACTCGATTCACAGAAAAACCTGCGAGCCTCACGACTTGTTGAGTTGACATAGGGAGCGTCATCACAAAATAGGACCGTGTGTTACAGTATGACGTTTGTGTTCAACGTGACCGAAAGTTGAACCGTCGTTTTTCCCGCCTGACCATTCAACACAACACACATCAACATCGCTGCTCGCACAAATTGAACCAATGCATCAATATTGAGAGCGGGTTTTCATCCCTGTACAAATCCATAAGGATGAATGTCTCTCACTGTTATCTTCATTGATGTGTTCGCGATGTCCCAGCCTTCGATGCCACCTCAACTTCAAGTTTGTTGACCCGCTCTTCAAGTCCCCAACCCCGTTCCTCGGCTGTTTGAAGGCAATACGTCAGGTATTGTATGTGGTTTTCCAGTTCTGCCACTCATTTCTTTCCCCTTTTGTAGCATCCCCTCCATCTCGTAATTCATGCCAACAATTTCTGCATATTCAGCGTGGATTTTGGTGGTTATGATCCCCCATCTCTCCTTTCCATGTTGTGTTTTTGCCGTCTGGCTGAAAGGCTTCCCGTGCCCCACATAAGTCTTGAGTGGTCGTTTGTGGGTGTGGCTAGATGAGCGCCTCGGGAGGGGACGGTGGCCGAAAAAGTGCGCTGTTCTTTTTCTCTGTGGAGGCATGTTGATGTTTGCTTCAATGTACCTGGTTTATTGAAGATTTAGAAGTTGAATTGATATAGAATATACAATACTACTCTCTGGCCTTTATATACGCCCAAGAAAGATGTATGCACGACAAATGATCAGCGGAGCGAAGTCATTTGACTTCCTGTATCCGGTAGCTCCTGGTATCTACCTTAGGAGCTGGGAACTGGGAATGTATGCCCAGGATGGAGATATGATCTGCGCGGGACCCACATGGTGTATTTTGGTTCCCCTGAACGCGAGGAAGCTACCTTCCTTTTGCTTCCTCGCGCTACGTCTTGTATCTAGAGTCGAGTATAGCTTTGTTTAATATTGATTACTGATCTGAATACGCTGTCCTCATCTACAGATACGTGAGACCCTCACAAGGAGCTCAGAGACTCCAAGGAACGCATGACAGTGTTCCTGGGGGCAATTTCTAAATTCCTAGAGATAGCCATTCAGTCCCTAGGAAGGTCACTTCAAGTTTAATTCTTAGCCTTCTTGGATACTTCCGCCTTATCCCACGAATAAGTGTTTAACCAGGCCTTGTGGGGACCCGGATGGCTTCATCACAAGTGACTTAGTATTGTCGCTCCGGGAGATAGCTTTCCCATTCTGAATGCTTGGCTTGTGCTTGTGAGGGCATATGAGGCTTTCAAAGCCTGTTGAGCTCCTGGGGGGGCACCATGCCTTCCCAGGGCGGAAAAGGGATTCCTATACCATATGTCGCATCCAGAGCCTCCAGCGTTGAAGCAAACCACGCCTTAACGTGCAATTCGTAATGTCCATAGGCGACAAACAACGTTGCGGACCATGCCACCTGGAACGGCAGCCAGACATTACGCCAATGCATGCTTGTAATGTACAGCCACAGATGCAATTGATTTAAGCAACAGTGATCTGGAATGAGACTTCCCTTCATGCAGGCCACTGCTTGGCTGTATAGCGGCGCATACTGCATCCGAATGCATCCTTCGACGTATTCACTGTTTCAAGGGAGAAGTTCCATGTCAGCAGCCACGAGGCTATGTAGGTATAGATCCCATGGCGATGGCATATAAAGCTGGCGTTGGAACGCTGCACAGATTGCTCAACACCAACTCCCATCCGGATCGTTTTTTGCATTTTATCATCAACTCAATGTCTACTATGCTGCCTTGGAACCCATTTGTTGTTTGCGAGATCGACGTCAGCCCTCACGAGGGTCCTGGTTCCTGTTGCGGGACGACGAAGAAAGGCGAGCCGTGCAGAAACTCGATCAAAGCTGAAGACACCAAGATAGGCCATCAAAAGTTGACCATTCTAGCCAGAGAGCCGTTCAACTTGTCAACTTTGCAATCGAAGCTCTGTGATGTTGCCAAAGACTTCCTCTGTGTGAGATGACATCGACAACGACAGGCCAACCAAATAGGCCAGCAGTGGTATGAGGCAGCCGTCCGCAACCAGAATTATGCTTGTTCTCTGTAGCTTATATAACACATTGCTGTATTTGGTAGAGAAGAAATCACTTAGGCACATAAAGAAGAAGTCATATTTTCATTGGTAGGGCCACACCTTTGCATGTAATTCCCGTTGCTGTTCGTTTTCAGCCAAACCGACAAATTCGTATTTGAAGAAATTGCTCAACTCCACGGCACGCTGATAAACTTCTGGATGCACCATGCCGCCCAATGGAATGACGTCATCATCTTGCAGTTGCTGGAGGATTTCGGAAATCCCCTCTAGCATATTCATCTCATCTTGATGTTGTAAAAGCTCTTCCTCTCCGAAATTAACCGGGCACGGTGTTTCACCATGCCCCATTTCATCCCAACGTGCGATGATGGTGACCAACGAATTGCGTAGAGAAAAGAGATCTTCTCGATCCCAACATCCAGGCACCAGCAAAATAGGGCGTGTCATGACTTGAAGTAATGGGTCGGCGAGGACCTTCCACCGGACGGGATCACTTCCCTCGACAGCGTTGTGATAGAGGTTCAAAAGATTCCGCTCGTATTTGCCCTGTTTAGACAGCGACGAGGCTGATAACTCAAGCATCTGCGGATGAGGCCGCTGGAGAGATACTGGGGAGATATGAGCCTGCTGCCAGTCAATTATGGAGCTGATGCGGTAGGTGTCTGGATCGACAAATATGTTATCAAGATGTAAATCAGGATGCGAGATTCTGTTGGGTAGCTCAGGCCAGGATGCGAGATATGGAGAAAGTGCGATGTATTTTTCAAGGAGAGCGATGTATTCACTCGGTGTCTCGGGTGCATCCATAGATCTGTGAAAGTTCATCCTTGGCCTCGCATGTGAAGCGGCCCATTCGAGCTCATTCATTCCAAGAGCCCGGGCGTAATCAGTAACACTTCTCCCTAAGATCGAGTTAGCTTGCATAGGCATATCACGTCTTCAGACCTTACATGGGCCTCTATCCAAATTCATTTGAGCCCTCCCCAACCCCCAGAGATTTGGATCAGCTGAAGGTCCGATCACGAAGGCTGGCGCTTGTGCGTCCTGGATAGAGGGAGACTGAAGTCGCTCATATTTAGCGGAAGTTGATTTGAGATCGGACTCATAGTATATGTAGCCGTGCTTTGGAAAGGAAATTGATGCGAGTTTCTTTTCGGCGTCCACGACCTGGTTCACTATATTCGATTGGATCTCCGAAGAGAGTCCGCCCCATATTGCCCCTAAAGGCTGGCCTGATGCTTTTTCTTCGAGAATATATTCAGCTCCTACTGGGTTACATTCGTCGGCTGACCAATCGTAAATACGAGGGATAGGAAGACCCATCTTGTCCCGTATCTTTGTCTCCGATTAGTTCCTCAACAGACTCGATAAAAGGATGTAACATACAAAATGACGAGTAGCAACTTCCGATGCAGTTGTGTAAAAAGGGGGACCCGCATTGGGATTTGGTAACCGTGCGATGATTTCGAAACCATTACTCATGGTTAGGAGAAATGCCTTGTTAAATTGCCCTTCAACACATTTCAGCAGTTTGACACCTATGATTTGAAGATTAGTCCTGTGAAACCCTGGTGGGAAAAAAGCATACAGTTTATTCCACTTATGCCCACAGCTTTGACAGAAACGTCAACGAGGCCCTGCAAATCGAATTTGCGGTGGCGCATTGCAAGTTTTTCTGGTTCTCGACTCCTGATGATGGATGTCAGACGGCTCTAAGTCAAGAGTTACTACATACAGCCACCTATATCGTTGGTACCTGTACAAATCGGCTTCATCGATGGGTTCCTCTGGCGGCCTAGTCAGTCGCCGAACGAACACTGCTCTTGAGGGGTAAAATCACCTGATCCATCTTCAAGCGCTCTCCAAAGAGATGTCGATAATTGGGCCATGTGTGACGTATTTAAGGCACGGGTGCATTTGACTTGTCTGTTTAAGAAACAAATACGACGAGGAATTGAGAAATTCATGCTGCGTGGACGTGTGAGAGTGCCTCTGTCAAGGGGTTTTATGTCCAGAGCTGCGCGGACCAAAGATTTTCCAGGCCGTTCACACCGACCCACAGGGCCCAATTCTATGAGCTATGACGTAGGTCGTAAAATCCACGTTCTGGCTGACGCAAAATTTCGAGGAATATTATGCTATGCCCTCCGTCACTAGTCCTTTATGTCGCAAAGTTTGGTTGGAATATAATTTGGGTGGCAACTCTTACACTTCTTAACTCAGTTCAACGAGTCGGCAACATTAAATGTTGAGTCGACTTCACCATTCAAAAGAATTTAAAAAAAAAAAAAAAGAAAAGAAAAATTCTATAAATAAATAAAAAGGAAAATATTTCATTGGACACAGTGCTCCGATGATTTCTTATTCAGTTTGATAGTAACTCTTATCAAGCGTCATGCCAATTTTACAAGATGTGGCCGATATATGCCAACGCTTATTCGAAAATTGCAACAAAGCGATCGATCCCTCATTCTTCCCAGCATGACCAACGAAAGTTTCTACACATCGGACTTTCGAAAGATCTAGTATCCTTCAGAATCATTTACATCTGAAGAGCTGTGATACCAATACGAGAAAAGGCACCTTACTCGATCTGATCCCTCTTTACGCGAAGTTTCAGTTATTGCCGACAAAGAAGGTATACTGGGGTTCGAAGCTGAAGAAAATTAAACGGTAATATCCAAATAAATTTGTCTTCGGATCTAGCAAGAGCTAGATTAAAGAGCTAGATTAGTAGACCATAGACATGCACCGTTTGGTACGCGCTCATGAATGATCTGGCGGCGGATCACCTTTAGCAATACATTCAAGTGACGCATAAGCCGTGGTACTTTCAATACCAGCTTGCGTTCCAAGTTTGCCGTACGTCCAGATGAACTCGATTGTCTGCACTCAGCCATCAAGGCCTAGCTCGAGGAATAAGTTGTTACGTGTTGCTAAATGGTCACAGTGAGTAATTACCCTAACTTACCAGTGTCGTCAAGCGGGACTCCCGTGATTTGTGCTGAGGCAGCTGAATACAACCTGCTCAACACCAGCCGCGACTGTACCGTCGCTGCGCTTAGTTATACACGAGCTCAGATCTTAAGAAGTTTTGGGGGTCGCGATAGGTGGAGCGCTTGGTAGGTTAGTCAGAAAGAGCTCCCATACTTGTAAGATTCTCGAGAGTGAATAATGAATACAAGCGAAGGTATATCCAAGTAAGAATATGGGTTTGATTGCGAAGAACCAGATATATTTTGTTTAAAGAATGTCCTTGTATAACCAGCCCTTCCTCAGATCACTAACCTGATTTGTCAGGTCGTGGGGTCTGTCGTCGTCAGATCATTGATCTATTTCCGTCCGGTTTGCCGAATCCATCACATAACTATATGAGCATCTCCCTGCCTTGGGCATTCTTCCCGTTATCCTTCTGTAACCCTTCCGCGTAGTCCCAAGTTGATTGGTTCTAGAGCCCATTCCTTGCGCACGAGCTGTTGCGCCCATGGCTCTTCAGGTTTCATCACATAAGTGCATCCACATTTAGCTTGTCTTTTCAACTGATTCCGCAAGCTTGTCGACATCGAATTTATCGCCGAGCGCAAAAGGTATTTTCTGCCCAATCACTTGATGTGTACCACTGTGACCTCCAGTTTTGCCTTTAATAAATGCCTTGACGGTCGTGTCGGTTGCTTGGCTGTTTGCTTGAATTATGCCGGTAGCCATCGTCGCATCTCGTGTGTTGCGATGGACATCCAATCGGAGGTCTTTCGTTTGTACAGCAGTCTTGGAAGTTGCACTGTCGGCAAATTGGAGGTTTTTGAGAGACTCCGAATTCTCGCGTATTTTCTTCGCTAGTCCTTCGAAGGCGGCCTTGGAGATTCTGGATGACATAGTGGAATCCGGAGATTGAGATTGAATTTGTGATTCCGTGGTAGAAAGGGCAGAGTAAATGCTCTATATATAAGGAGTGGAGAAGTGGAATTATCGTCATGCAGTCCGGTCGTGATCAGCCGATCTCCTGCGTAGCTCAGATTCACAGCAAGCGGAGCCTAGCATCTTTGACAATACAAGAGAATACAAGAGGAGCAGCCTAACAGTACTAACCGGCTTTCTCTGTCCCGATTTCCAGCAGACTGACTGACTCTCTGAGCTGGAGCGCTGCATAAACGCCCGCACTCATTCTTGGCCAACCACAACCCAAGAAAACGGCACACAGGCGCGCTATTCCAATTCTGTCGAATCTCGTCCGCGCAGACAAGATTCGACAGAATTGGGATAGCGCACGAATGCCAAAAATTCTCACGTTTCATCCTCGTAGAGACTCCACTCTGACGCCTTTCGTCCAATCACCGCGTGAGCAGCCTCCATAACTTGAAAGGAGCAAAATTTCTACCGCTTCTGCTTGTTTAACAGGTCAAGAAGCACTGGCAGCTCAAAGATGACGTGCAGAGTGTTTGCAAAATCAGAAGCGGACTGCAAAAATGAATTCAAAGATATATGTCACATTTGCCTAACCGTATACCCTTGCACCTAGAAGAGCACAGTTATTGCGCAACGAGCAAATGACTCTATCAGCGACCAATGTCGAAAGTTATTCTGGTTAGATACCCAGAAATTCACACGCAGATCCACCGTTAGACGGTGACCACGCAATTAGTCAAATACTTAAGCCCCTAGCACTGTGAAGCATATTGAAACATCTCTTTTAAACATTTGGCTTGGCCAAAGCAGATATTATGAACCAGGCAGCCGCCACTTAATGATGGGGCACGGAGACCAACCAAGCTCCCAGGCACAGAGCGTTATCCTATTTCTCATGTCAAAACCGACTGAGGAGGATCATTGGCCACACATAATCAGCTCCTTTGCACATGCGACAAGGTCAGAGCAGGTCAAAGCGCACGCTATTCCAATTCGGTCCAATCTTATCCCCGCGGACAAGATTGGACTGAAATGGAATGTTGACTGGTTAGCGCCATAATGGATCATATGATTGGCTCTACTAGATGGCCCCGACCTATAGAAGGTATCCTTCCTTCAGTCCATCCACAGAGACCTTGTTTTAATGCTTACGGTACCAAGTTGACTCACATTTAGACGCGGCCCGCAAAAGACTAGGGTACAGCAGCCCGATTCTCAGAAAACGTATTTCCAGCATGTATACATACCGTAGGCCTATCTCCCTCAAACCTACCTCAGCAGTCCCACATAAGTATGCATATAATACGCAATCATGAAGGCGACACAAAACTGGTGTGACCAAAGCTACTTGCGTTTTGTCCCTGTCCATCGCTCAATATGATGATCAGTCGGTCTGAGAAGCTTAAGTACCCTTTGTCCGCCGCCGAAATCTGCGGCGAGCATACAACAATATTTCCTCCTTTCCCAAGCTTGTTTTCAACACTTTCTCAACATCATGGGGTTTTCCATCATCCCTGTGGAAAATATCGATATCCCCTTTGCCGATCTTCAAGCAAAACAACCCGAGATTGAGCGATTTTCTGCCAGTACTCTTATTTTCCTTTGTGACCCCCACAAACCACTCACCGCATACCTGCTTCTCTGTCAACGGGCTCTACTCGGCAAAGACGAGAACGGCAATGACAAGAAGAATTCATGGGCCTTCAGCTGGGAGCCACCGGGGGGATCGAGAGAGATATTCGACAAAACTATTCTGAGCACTGCGAGACGTGAGACGGAAGAAGAAGTCAACTTGCACGGCTCGCGCGTTTCTCGTCATGTCTACAGGGATTCGTGGATACACAAGGGAGTTCCGATGGCAAGATACACATTTCCTCTGGAAGTTCATGAGCCACTCAATCTCCAACGAACATGGTGCGACAGACAGCAGCAGCCCGTCGGTAGGAAAGAAGGACCCATACGGTTAAGGGAAGATGAACATCTTGATTACTGCTGGGTTACGGAAGCACAAATCCGTGGTTCACCTCTCTACGACGAAACGAATCCTCAGCATCAAAGAGGACTTGCTATGCTTGAAAGCAAGAAGGAGATGATCCTCAATGCTTTTATGCGGCTGAAGAATTCTCAACTTGATATGACATACGATTTGTCAGTGGATTGACGATGATGATGGAAAATTACCTGTCGGTGGCTCATCTGGAAAGGATTGCTTGAAGCCACACTGAGCCAGCTTTGCGTTGGGCAGATAACTCAGTTCTAGCAATTTGTATGAAGCGACGACTTAGAAAAAAATACGTTGGGCTTGTTCTGGACCGTGATAGCCTATGCACCTTGTTTACTCGCAATAATATAAATTCACATATAAGGCCCACCGCAAGCAGGGCTCTACTACCGGAGATTAAAAGTCTTGGAATATTATATGAATCTTCCTGGAGCACACACCGAACTTACGTCTCTCTATTCCATTCGACAGCCACTTGAAGCACAAACACCAATCATTATTCGTCCTGAACGAACCATGAAGAAGACCAATTTAATACATGGTAGTGCCAATCTTATTGGCCGGGATTTGCAGACGCGGTGCATACGATAGAACAGGGGGTGAAGAAAGCGGCGTTCCACCTCCACCGTCGAGATAGTGCTAATATGCCAGCCCTGTTCAGAGTCGAAGTCGATTTAGGTTCTGGCCATGGGAACATCGGCTTCTCTTCTATTCTATTGTGAGGGTCGCAAGTGGCCTACTGGCATTTGGCTTAAACCATCCTGGCGCTCGCAAGGCAGTATAGCCCCCGGCAACAATTATATATGTCATGATCTTGATTAGAAATGAGCAGCCATTTAGTTGCCAGCCGGTAAGTAATCCGAACCTCATTGACCTATCCGTACTGCGACAGTGAGTGAGCTATCTGATCTTGGTGTCGCACTTTGAACCCGGCCAAAGCTAGATAAGCCTGCATTGCTAATGATATATAAAAGACTGTTCCTTTACTGTAGGCTCAAGGAAACCTCTGGATATTCCATCAATTTCCATAAACAGTGGAATTATGAACTGCTTGAGTATAACTAAAGTCCGTTGCCTACTTTCAACTTATATACCACTCCTCTTCTCTCCAGGCAACCCACGTGAGTCCGTTATATTTGGAGGGCCAGATCCCAATGAAAGCTGGACGCTCGATTCCACGAAGTCAGACGTGGCCATAATGTCGGAAGAACAGCCTCCCTTGATTACAACTTCAGGCTCGGGTGTCCCTGCCGACGATTCGGCGACGACACGCCTGCACGTAAGGTTTTCTTCCTTACACGTTGACCTACAGTACTGACCAAGCAGGCCGTGCGCATTTGGTTTCCTCGAAATAGAGTTCAAATCACGAAAGACATCAAACAAAAGGGCCTCGAGGATGTGGTTCTCGACGCTATTGATCTTCAAGAGCTTGGCGTTCAGCATCAAGGCCAGGATGACCATGGCATCCCGAAGGAAGCATCCCTAGTGGATCTTGCAGTGCTTGAGACTGGTATTTCACGGGTCTTGGGGGAGTATGGGACTACAAAATTCGTTCCTCTGAGCAGCGATGATCCGATTATTTTGCAACAACCGGCATTGGATCTCGACTCAAAGAAAGCTCTTTGTTATCAGCACCTGCATTTTAAATACCAGCAGGAATATACAAAAAGGTGCAATCTTGCAAAAGTTCTTGGATATGAGGTCCACAACATCCTAAGGGACTGGTATGAGGAACGTCTCGAAGATATTTGTAACCGCTTCAGAAAGCTCGGTTACTGTTGAGCAAATCAGATACAGTTCATTTCATTCTTCACTTGCACTGATCACTGGGTGGAGCTCAATTCAGGTCAAGCAGAAAGTCGAAGTTTGGAGAGCACGTTTCACGCATCATGCCCCGTGATTCTGGAGTATTCTCTCCACTTCGCTACAGTATTATAAGGCAGTCTCCAAAAAAAAAAAATTTAATCAAGCCCTGTGATGCTTTAGAAGATGAAGCATCAAAATGCCAAGTCATCAGCGCTAGCATTAGAATAGTGCCATAACTGAGACCGGGTAATATAGTGCTTGTCTTCTATCTTCCTTCGATTGCTTCTACCAAGCTACGTGCAAGCATTTTTGGGAGCAAAAGTCGAGCAAAAAAATAAATGAGGACCTAGAGCAAATGACCCCCATTGCTGCCAGCCCCTATAGGCTGACTGAATCTGCCGTAAACGAGCCGGAAAATACTAAATCTCAAAAGGCCTCTACCAGTTTGCAATCCAGCGGCTGGTTATCACGGGTGAAGCACTAAATAACCAACAACCTATTCTGTCAGCGGATATTGTACATAAATGGTTTCGAGCGAAAACGAATTAATTCCAATCATCTTAGATCAATTAAACGGCAATCTCGTGGCGCTGCCTAGACCTGTCGTCTACCGAAAGCTCGAATATATATAGTTCGTCTCGCACTGCACCTATAGTTCCCAAACAACTCTATTTCCATTTGCTCTATAAGTCCTCTTCCTCGAGCCCTATGATTTAGCAAATGTCTTGCCAGAATGTCCTCACCTTCATTCTTCAACATTGAAATTATCGATGTTAATCCAGAATTTAACCTATTCTTTTCTCACGTCCCAATGGCCAACCTAAACTGTGCTTTCTTCATTTGTTGGCAAGAATACTCTACAGAAGGCATACCACTGTGAGTCTCACCCCTCTAGCGCCGCAACCTATTTATCTGACGCCAGCGTAAGAGACGAAGAGACTACCACTGGGGTGGAGCTTCGGGGAGAGTCACTTACTCCCCTAGGTAGTTTCATTCCTGCTATATTGCAGAATCCGCTGGTTATCCATAATATCCAGAATGATCCGCGCATCGGAGCGCTGAAGCTTGTCGTATATGGGTGGGTCGTCTATTCTTTTTTTCGTAGGCATAATGACTGACGTAGTGATTTATTATGCAGAACCCAGGGTATATCAAGAGGCCCTTCTTTTCTGTAAGCACAAAGTTTGTTCACTCATAGACCCAAAATCAACAAACATTGCAGGGCGTTCTCAATCCGAATGGCAGCTTCGTGGCTCAGTGCTCTACCTATCTCGAACCATGTATCCCTGCCGGAACGCGTACGGGATATCATCCTACACAATCTGCCC